GTCAAGTCTCATGCCAAAAGGAAGTGCTGAATTTAGGTTGAAGCCTGGGTACAGCGGTGAGGTGTTCTGCATTTGAAGATGGAGAGGTTCCTGCAGGGGGGGGGGGGGGGGATTAGTTGTTGAGTTTTTCACTGTGGGAGAGGAACCTTCCCTCCTGTGACATAGTTGACATTTATTGAACTGCCTCACCAAAGAGACGTAGTCATTCAAAGGACATATGTGTCAGGCAGTTTTCAAGAGGCGGCTTTAGCTGGCCAGATCTTGAGCCACATAATTTTGCTCATGTGAATGGAGATTAGGGCCATTCTGGAAATTTTTGCCATTACTTGTTCTAGGACAGCAACATAAAAGAGTAGAGCAGAAGGTAAATGTTTTAATTGCTCAATTAAAGTACAGTCCTGGAATACAGGATTGTGTTGGTTGTTCACTGCCCTAGTTCAGTTAGCTGCAATTTGACAGACAGAAATCGCAGTGATAGCTGGTTGCAGAGCTGGTCCTGCATGTGTAAAGAGGGCTATTAAGAGCATTTGAAAACATCATGTCTGTAGAATCTTTGAATAAAGGAACATCTTTAATTCATACAATAAGGTGTTTAACAATGGATAGAGCTGGGCAAAAACAGAGTTCGCATGTTCTCTCTGTGCCTGTGTGGGTTTTCCTCCAGGTACTCTGGTTTCCTTCCACTTTAAAGACCTGCTGGTAGGTGAATTGGATCCTGTCTAAATTGGCCCTAGTATGTGTATGCATGAATGTGAGTTAGGGACCTTAACTTATACACCTCTTGAGGGTTAGGGACTGATGTGAATGTGCAATATATATGTAAAGTGATGCGTAAATTGACACCGCTATAGAAGTACCTGTAATAAATAAATAAATCTTTTCTGAATTAACCAAGTCATTGTAAATTACCCATTATATTTGTTCATGAAGGGGGAATGTATTTTTAGATATTTTGAATTTTGGACACTGTTTTTGGACTTATTTTTGGATTTATCTTTGGACATTTTGGATTTGGTTTTTTTTTTTTTTTTTTTTTATTTATTTTTTTTTTTTTTTTTTTTTTTTTTTTTTTTTTTTTTTTTTTTATATTTTTTTTTTTATTTTATTTTTATTTTTTGGAATTTTGTATTTTTATTTTATTTATTTATATTTCTTGGTATATATTTATGATTTTTAATTTATTTTGGGAATTTATCATATCACAAAAAGGGTTTTATATATATTTTTAGATATAGCAGGTTTCTTTGTACATAAGGAAACCTGGTGAGATAGAAGAAAATTAAAGTGTGTCAATGCCTAGTCTTTTGCGCACAGCAGAATGAAGTACATCCACTTTGGCAAGCATAATGTGTAAAGCTGCAGTCTTAGGAGTAAAGTAGTCTGAGAGTGAGAAATCTGAGTTTGAGAGTTGTGAGGTCTTCTGCAGAGTAAATGTTCACTTGAATTTTTGTTGTGGCTCTCCTTCATCTGGTTTCTGCCATAGCTACGGGTGAGGGTATTACCCTATGGAGTACACATTGAGTATGGGGCAGATAATAGGGTACCAGTAAGCAGCCAACCAGGTGTAGAACCTGCGGACTTTTCTACATGACACAGTGATGTAGGATGAGAGGAAGCACCTAAGTAAGTAGATTATTAGACGGAAGTGGTGGTAAAGTGTGTGACTTGTGGTGTGATGTAACACCTGGTCATCCACATGAGACTAAATCCTGAGTTGAGTTTTAGCTCCAAGTTTACACTCTAAATTGAAAACAGTCTAATAATAGCCTTTTTTTTTTTTACAGTAATGGACAAATATACAGGGTGGTCCTGTCTTTCCGGTCCACGACGCTGGTCCCTTTATAGCAGTGGTTCTCAACCTTCCTAATGCCGTGACCCTTTAATACAGTTCCTCATGTTGTGGTGACCCCGAACCATAAAATTATTTACCCAGTAATTATAATTCATGAGTGTCGTTTTACCTCCAATACTGCTGCTTTCAACACAGCAGCTGCTTTCTACACAGTAGCTGCTCTTTACACATCGGAAATATGTGTTTTCTGATGGTCTTAGGGGACCCTTGTGAAAGGGTCGTTCGACCCCCAAAGGGGTCGCGACCCACAGGTTGAGAACCACTGCTTTATAGGATTTTGGCTTCACCTGTCACGGTGGGCATACCCTTGAAGCTGTCTTCAGCATCTGGGTTCCATAGGGATGGACCACAGTCCTGGGCCTGTATAGCACCCTGCAGCTAACTACATCCGTTTCAGCTGATGCCAAGGTGAACCCTTCATGAAGGAACCAGTGCCTAAAGCAACACTACCGGCTGTCCTCCAAAGATTGAGAGGCTACACTGATTTGGACACACTGCTTCTATTGTTTTATTAGAAAATAGTGAAAAGCTGATTAAAGAGTCCGAAGACAAAATAATTAAAATGGTTGTAAACCCTTACATATATACAATGTGAATTGACTGGCCTCATGTGATACATAGAGATTAAACAAATCCTCAACAACATAAGTTGTACCTGTTTATCTGAAGTCTTCTCTACATGTATTTCAAGTGCAGAATTTATAAAGCTTGTCTGAGCTTTCAGAAAACAAGGGTTGAGGAGCTGAAATTACAACACTGGAGAGCTCTGACAGCTAATTGGAGGGAAGGGATACACCCTCCTTCAAACAACACACAGGAACAAAGCTGTTGCTGACAATCAGCTGGAGCTCCCTCTCCTGTCACCATTTCTTTTCTTGGTGTCAGGAAAATTTGTCAGAAGTGGCTCATGCTGATAGCAGATAGAAATTACACTTCGTGTACTTAATTGAGACAAGTACACACTATAGAGGGATATTCTTTGTTCATAATTCATGTCTGAGATTTACAACCACTTTAAGTAGTTAAATGAAGAGTGACATCTCCATAAGGAAGAAGGTCCATCACCCTAGGACACTAGCAAATAATGAGGACTCATGGAGTGGGGCTGGGTAATAGGGAGCATGTCCTCAAAAGCTTTGCCAGTGTCCAATCACTTGAAGGTATGAGTCTATAACCCAGGGTCTATGAACACCCAGTCTGTGTCTGGTATTGTACGGTTAGGGTAAAACATTTTGGCTATACATACAATTTTGAAACAATTTCACATCAGGTTTTTTGCTGTGGATCAAACAGCTGTATCCACCACCATATCAGACATCTCTATAATCCATTACATGACAGTGGATCAAAACAGCCACATTAACTATCATATTGGAGATCCAATATTTTATTCAAAGACTGAACAAAAATGGCAGTAACCCTTTCACTGCCATGTCCGTATGTTGTACACACCTGACAGTGTGGTGTTTTACACACAATCCAGTGGCTGCAGCCACTGGAATTGTGTCTAAAACTGACAGGCAGACTCCTGCATGTTAGGTGGAAGCAGTTGGGTGGCTGCGCTGCACCCTGAAGGCTTTCACAGCACCTGGTAAAGACCTCCTCCATAACACTAAAGTAATGACATGTAGGGGCTTTTGAAGCGTCGCCTATAAATAACATGGGGTACTAAAGTTTGACGCCATTTCACAGGCACACACAAATTTAAGATTTGACATGTTGGGTATCTATTTACTCGGCGCAACCTCATCTTTTATATTTTACCAAAAACATGGTATTTTTTGCATGTGTTTACCCTAAAATTCACTTTAGTGTGTTTGGAAATTTTACGTTTCCTAGACCTTTGCGGTAATATCGTGTGACATAAAAAATTGGAACTACCACTATTTTATTCTATAGAGTGTGTGCTTTCAGAAATTATACAATGTTTGGGAGTTTTATGTAATCTTCAGGCCTAAGATGACTTTTTAAACATGTGCAAAAAATGCAAAAGTGGCTCTGGCAGCGAAAGGGTTAAAAATGGAAAAAAAAATATTTCAATCTCGAAAGATATTGGAGTTTTCCACTATATTCAATCAGAGCAATTTGAAACCATATCCTTATCTTCAATAGTTTTGGAAATTTGATACAATTTGCATGAAAAGTTTGAATAATCTATGAAATTGCCTGTGTGACCAGCTTAAACCAAATGATCACAATGTTGTGTCAATTCTTTCAGCTTTCTATCAGATTGAAAGAAAACAATTACATGTAAGCGGATGGTTCACATAAATCTGCTTCCCAGTGTAGATTGTGTTCCGGATTTCAGCAACTAAATGACGGAGGTAAAAATTGATCAGATATGGCTTTTGACTAGTTCTGGGGTGCTTTGATCAAGTTCAATGGCAATTTTGATGGTATGGTGCTCAAAACTGAGAAACAATATAAATCATGATTCACACTGGATGCTGTGGTGAGTTTTATTTGTGCATTCTTTTTTTTTTTTTTTCAAATAAAATCTCATGGAAAGTTCTAAAAAATGCCATGTTATTACCACATTTATGGCAAGCATTCCATTACATGCTTTTCAGAAGTCCAAACAAGACAGGTGTGTTTTAAGCAAACATACCTGCACCTAATACACAGTGCAGATGTCCAAAAAAGGTTGCAACAGTAAGCACCCTCTGTACTACATCATGATGACCAAAATGTACAGCTTACGTGGAAAAAAAATAGAAGCTTCAATTACATCATGAGAGCCAAGACTATTTTTTTTTCTCTTAGCGCAGAGCTTCTTGGCTATTACACGATTAAGAAAAGCAGCCCCCACTATTAGGATTTAAACCTGAACTCCAGCCTTTTTTCTGCAAGAACTAGCCCTGCCTCTGACATGTACAAACACACTTAGTAATACAGGCGGGCTCTATGGCGCCCCCTGCACTCCCTTCCTTATTTTACATTTTCTGAGGATCCATACGGTGGTAAAGCTTAGAGCAAGATTTGTAAATCAATGATGCAATATTCTGGAGGGCCCTGACATGAGACTTTACACCTTAAAAGCTGACAGCTCACTTACCTCCTATTAGCGTTTTACATTTAGCTACATTACTACACAGAGACATAAAATGCTTTCTATTATCAGGAAGCACATATCATATGAAAAGCTTACCTGTATTGTCAAGCAGTATGATCATGTTATTCCAAGCCAAACTGTGATCTGGTTTAAGAATAGTGGCATTTCTCCATGCATTTAATGCATCCATATGTCGATTTAAATCTGCATACTAAAATGAAACAATAAATCCATACAACTGAACAAAATAACAATAGTAAATGCTTTTTACAGCATCCCTGAAGTCTAAAAGTAATCAATACATAACTCTAGGAGTGGCCCCCAACAAAGTCAAAATGTAAAAATTATTTTTCTTTTATATGTGCTCAAAATCTGTTGCACCTTTACATTGCAGTGGGCAGTACATAATAGAACATCACTGGGACCAGACTGTGAATGAACTGTGAGGAGAGCAGGGACAGTACATCAGCGTATGGGACCAGATTGTGGTAAGTATGAGGGAAAGATGAGGTGGTGATAGCATATTGCAAAAGGCAGGGGAGAGAAGAAGAGCAGATTGTGGATGTGAAGGGGAGACTGGACAGTAGAGAATTGAGTCAGAAGGAGCATAGTGGGTGCACAACATCCTATCCTAAGATATTTCTTTGGAGCCTTTGACTAAATGTTTGGGTCAGAAAACTAAACACTTTCAAACATGAGTTGAGAAGAATAAGGAATGTTATTGTTATTTCAGGTACTTATATAGCGCCGTCCATTTACGCAGCGCTTTACACACACACACACACATATATATATATATATATATATATATATTGTACATTCCACATCAGTCCCTAACCCTCAAGGGGCGTACAATCTAAGGTCCCTAACTCACATTCATATATACACATGCTAGGGCCAATTTAGACAGGAGCCACTTAACCTACCAGCATGTCTTTGGAGTGTGGGAGGAAACCGGAGTACCCGGAGGAAACCCACGCAGGCACAGGGAGAACATGCAAACTCCAGGCAGGTGGTGCCGTGGCTGGGATTAGAACCAATGACCCTAGTATTGCCAGGCGGAAGTGCTAACCATTTAGCCACTGTACAATTAATAAAAAAAATGTAAAAGCACCCCTATTGTCATACATACAATGCAATACAAATGTGCTTATAGGGCACACATGTATGTAAATTGCATCACTATGAATGTCAGGATGAGAGCAATAATTCTAAGACGATAATTCATAGTAAACACTAAATAGATAAACCTGTGGAGGCTTCTAAAGTGTCTCGTCCATGGACAATTTTGGGCACCATAATTATTCACGGGTGCACGCAATTTTAAAGATTGACATGTTTTACTGACAGAATTATGGAGGTGCCGTGGCTGGGATTCAAACTGACAACCCTAGAGCTGCCAGGCGGAAGTGCTAACCATTTAGCCACTGTGCTGCCCAATGTGAGACACAGAAAGCAGTAGTAGAAAGAGATGGACAAACACGAGAAGGACAATACATTGGGGAAGAGGAGCAGAGCAGGGACAATAAGATGGAGAGAGAAGCAGTACTGTGGTACGGTTGCAACAGAGAATACTGTAATGCTGCAGAAGACTGCTAATGGGCACATGGGCAAAGTCCCCCCCCTCCCAATTCTTTATTTAACCACTTGCCTACTGGGCACTTTCACCCCTTCCTGCCCGGGAAAATTTTCAGCTTTTAGCGCTGTCGCACTTTGAATGATAATTGTGCGGTCATCGTTCATGCAACATTATACCCCAAACCAAATTATCATTTTGAGACAAAGAAAAAGCTTTTCTTAGTTTGTTATAAAATTTTGTAAATTAGTTTTTTTTTCTCCATTACTGATGTGTACTGATGAGGCTGCACTGATAGGTGGCACTGATAGGCAGCACTGATATGTGGCATTGATGGGCACTGAAAGGCAGCACTGATAATCAGGGCACTGATGATCACTGTAGATGTCCCCTCTGAAGAATGCCGCTTACTGGCTGTCCTCTCCTCATGCACTGTCAGAGTGAGGAGAGCACTGCCGATAACCGGCATTTCCTGTTTACATGCTATCAGCTATGATTGAACACAGCTGATCACATGGTAGAGCCTATGTCATCGGCTCCTTACCATGAAAGGTGATCGCTGTGTCCTAGCATACCACCGATCAGAGCGCAGGAAGACATCATATGACATCCTCCCAGAACAAGAGCATTCCTGCCCATCTGTCATTCCCGTATATTGTGGGCGGGAGGCAGATAAAGGGTAACTCCATTTGCGTGGGAAAAAAAAATTGTAAATAGAAAATTATTTTAGCGTATACAATTGCAACACAAGTCATATCGTAATTGAATGTTATTAAAATGACTTTTCCTATCTGGAGGGAAGGGAAATCAGGTCTAAAGGGATGCATACTTTACCACTTTCCTCATTAGAGCCCTAGATGCAGCAGCTGATTGAGAACTATAAAATCACTCCCATACAGATTCACTCTGCATATGAACACAGACAAACAGCTACCTTTTCAGAACAAAAAAAAAAAAAGGTAGGAATCTGCAATGTTTGTTAAGATCCCTGCAATGTGGCTGGGTAAAGTCATCTCAAAACAAGATACAGAAAAAAAACAAATATGCATCCAGTTCTGGACAAATTTGTAAAGCTGTGAGAAGGTTATAGTTGTTTGTTATTAGAAATAGATGATTTGCAGGTGGGGGTAAAGGTAAGCTAGGGGAGAAGAAAAAAAAGGAAGGGACCATGCAGGCAGCAATGTACTGTGGGTGTCCATGAAACCTCAAAAAAAACTAAAATTGGTATGGTAGTACATTACAGTATGAAGCGGATCATTTAATTTGAGTGGAGGAAGGAGCCGTCTTGGTGAACCCTACCCAATATAACCAGGTGAGTTGAAATTTCTCATCTTTTTAAGGGTGGAGGTAAGGCTAATCATTGTTTTAAAGTTAATCAAAATGATGTCGTGCTTCTATAATGTTATAAAAATCAAAACTTTGTGCTCTTATGCCCCAAGCCGTAAATAGGGCTTATGAGAGGTGAGGAGCCAATAGACCAATAGTTCTATTGGCTCCTCACCTCTCATAAGCCTTTATATATTGATAACATATCAGTGTACACAATGTGAGTGTCTAGGTGTCTCCCCGGTGGAGTCAGCAGCTCCTCTTTGCTTTTTTTTGCAGATATTGTGAGATACGGTGTACGAACAATCAGCAGCAGGACCTTGTCCTCTTAAGGGGGTACATAAAAACTGAGTATTCTGGAGGTGTCCAAGGGGGAAGAGTGAGCAGAGATTACTGGGAGAAGAGAAAAAGACTGAACACAAATGCATTAATGTTTTTTTATTATTACTTATTTATTGGATGAGACATTTATATAGAATATATGATTAGGGCACAAAAGCACAAATTTTTGATTATCAGAACAGGTTTTATTTTTTTGCAGTGCAGCATCATTTTGGTTTACTTTGTCTATATATGTGCAGGAACACATATTTGATGTAAGCATCAGCTGGTAATATACACATTTAAAGAAAGGTGGGTAACACAGGAGTTCTGCACATTCTCCCTTGTTTTAATTTCTAGAACCTTACAGACAAAATTTTAAAATACTGTAAGGAGGAACTCTGTAAAGAGGGAGAGAGGAATACTAAGCAGGAAAGCAGAGAGACAGTGCATGTTTCCGCAATAGTGTATAGCTGATAGGTGCAAATATACTCTACTAACACTCACAGGAAACAGAGTGTTCACTTTACCATTACCACAAGGCACTATGATGAGCAAAAGAAAAAAAATACAAATGTAACTCTAAAAGCCTTTAAAGTAGAAGAAAAGGCTAAAATAATTCAAGTTTAAACTCTTAACCCCCCCCCCCCGGTCTTACACAAGCTTAATACAGTTGTTAAGAAATCCGTTTAAATATCCTATTTTTACTCCTTTTTTCATACTCCAAAGCCTTGGCCCCTCTGTTTTGAATCAGCTGCTGCTTTTGCGACTGTCAGAACAGAACCTTCTCCTGGCTGCAGCAGTGAAATCCAGGAGGGTAATTTCACAGCTCTCTGTAATTCAGGCCCCTTATCAGGCTTGCACATCTACACAGAGGAATGCTGAGAGAAAAAAAAAAAAAAAAAAAAAAAAGGTATTTACAGGGATTTCCTAACAATCATATGGATCATTTTAGCCTTTCTACTTTAAGGCTAGGTTCACATCTAACTATTGAGGTGCTTTAAGAAGTCCATTCAAAATGCATAGGCTGTTGCATACACAGCACCTGCACTTTTTTTTATGACAGTGCACCGCACTCCAATGCATGTTAGTGCACACCTCTGTCAGCAAGGTGCCATTCACAACAAACAGCACCTCATCATTGCTAGTAGCATGCATAGCCTCGCGTTTTAGCAACAGTGGAAAATGTGCATCCCTACAATGTGATCATGTGAAAAAGGGCCTAATGAATTGGTTTCTTCATCACTGCTTTATTTGCAGGTACACAGAATAAACAATTTCCAAGACTAAGAAATAAAGGATGGTAACAAGTTGGCCACCTGACAAATTAAATAAGCATTTATACTTAAAGTGTTTGTTACCTCAACATTTCATATCCCTGGTATGTGTCTGCAATACCATGTACTTCTGTTAAAAAGTATCCGGTTCTCTTTGCATTGCTTCCTCTGTGTGAAATACCTGGTGATCCGGCCAGTGCCCCTGCTTTTCTATTTCAAACTGACCATGCTAGGCATAGAAGCACATCCATCTCAGTGTAAACAGTTTTCTGGATGCACCGGGAGCACAGCCTACCTGTCCTCCAATGGTTAGACCTATGCCAACACCCCACCCCCCCCCCCTTGCACAGCTCTTCACTGGGATATATATATATATAAAAACACCCAGTGGATAGAAAAAGTTTACACATCCCTGTTAAAATGTCAGGTTTCTGTGATGTAAAAAAATGAGACAAAGATAAATCATTTCAGAACTTTTTCCATCTTTAATGTAACCTATAAACTGTACAACTCAGTTGAACAACAAACTGAAATCTTTTAGGTGGAGGGAAGTAAAAATTTAAAAATTAAAATAATATGGTTGTATAAGTGTGCACACCCTTAAACTAATACTTTGTTGAAGCACCTTTTGATTTTATTACAGCACTCAGTCTTTTTGGGTATGAGTCTATCAGTGTGGTACATCTCGACCTGGCAATATTTGCCCACTCT